TATATATATATATATATATATATATATATATATATATATATATATATATATATTCTCTCCGTGTAGTCGATACGAATATTCAAAGATGTTGCTCGGCACCCACGCCGATAGTGCGAGGAAAGACTCGAGGAACGACGACGCGTCCGGTCGAATGCGCGCATCGCACAACTACGATCGACTATTCGTATAGCCTCATCGTGGCCTGAATAGCTCTCCACAGTAAACACAGCTTAGAATGGCACCCCCGATACTCTAACATTAGACTAAAGTTAAGTCATGCGCATTGGCACGCGCTATTTGGTACTTGTATTACCTTATTCCTCTTTTTTGGTTTCCGTATAAATACTTTATCCCTAAAGTTGCGATTAGTTTAGCGCTCGACTGCTGGTGACGCCTCGATGCCTCGATTTATTCGTAGGTAATGGGTGCTCGGAAGCGTCAGCTTGAGTGTCCTCGCCACCCGCGCTCGTCCGATATTCGAGGATTGGAGAGACTGGACTGATACAAGATCACTTCGAGCTTTATCGCGTTCGCTATCAGCGTCACACACTTGTGACGCACCGATCTCTCACGGGAGACCAGCGTTCGCACACGCGTGACAGCGATAATCTTCCCCTCTATGTCTACATAAACAAATTATGTTTGCTTTATATGATTGTGTAAGAAAAAATTCAGAGTGGTCTGTGTGAAGGGTTTCTCGAACGGATCCCCTTGATAGCGAATATGTTATTGATAATTTGCGGATCGCTGTCACTCGATGCTCGTCTCGAGAGTATCGGTCTACTTCGTCGCATCGGTACGAATTACGGCGGTTCATGGTCCACGAGTGACACCGATAATACAAAATACTCGATACCCGCGTTGAAACTGTACTCTGAACTAGTACAGTCTAGGTCACATATTAACACATGCGCTTCGGGAAACGAGATGCCTCGTTAGTGAATGAAAATCACCCAAAGCCATCTAATGTATTAATAGTCGTTACTTGAAACTTATCTCTTGTGAAGTGCTAATTAATAACATATTAATAATCGTTACTTGAAATTTATTCCACTGAGATACTCGAATTTATTTAGAGTTACATTTGAGCTTTTTATTTAGATTGTATAATATGTGTGACATTTATATTTGTAATCGCGATTCAGCCGAGGAACTCACATCTAATTCTGAATTGAAATGAATATCTCATCTGAGGTAAATTTCAAGTAACGACTATTAATACTTAGATTTGGATACTGAGTTAAATGTGAGTTTTTCAATTAAATCGCGAAGTACAATGTGATGTATATCGTGTATAATTCAACTGAAAAACTCTCTCTCTCAGACTTAATTCTAAATTCAGATCTGAATACCTCACGTGAGAGACAAATTTCAAACAACTATTCCCGACTTGGCTTAGTCTGTCAATGCTTAATTCTCTCATAATTCCTTAGATCCGAATTATATAAATTTCAATTTCAATTTGTGTTGCTGCGTCTGCAGACGCATCATCAAATTCTTGTGATATTAGCCGTATCATAATCATAATTACATAGTAGAAGCATAAAAGTAATAGCTATATATATATATATATATATATATATATATATATATATATATATATATATATGTATATATATATATATATAGCTCTATATTATATATACATATTTTAAAACTGTCATATATATATAAATATTAAAATTAATACTATTAATACGGGCCTAGAAGACGTCCAGGCAAACGCCCGAGAAGTCGAGACGTTCTCTTCACGTTCGTGTCGTTCGAGTATCGTTCACGTCGACCACGCTCTTCCTCGAGCACCGGACGAGCGCGAGTATCGACGCTTGATCAGTTCGAGCATCTCGAATTCAAAGATGCCCGTTCGCTCTCATTATACTACGTGCCGAGTCACGTTCGCGCTTCCACCCAGTCTTTCGTCGGGCGATCTACCGTCGACTCGTCGTCCACCTCTACCGAGGACACGACGGCTGCCCTCGTCCTCAGGGTCGTCACTGTCGGGCGACAAAACAAGCGATCACGGTCTTAAGACGGTGCGATGGATACGATGACGAAAAGAAACGGACCGACTACTCGCCGGACACGAAACGCGCTGCGAAAAGTCGCGAGAATTACTCTAAGCGGACTGGGACTTCAGAGACAAAGAATAACGCGTGTCGCGTGTGATTCGTCAACGAGCAAGCGCGTGTAGAAGAATGGGCCCGCGAGTCTCGAAGGAGGAAGCAAGGTGGACAAGAGCCTCTCCCTTTCTTTTTTGACATTCGAAAGGTCATTCTACCCGCGACTGTCTCGACTTCATCCTTTCGGGTCTCTTTGCGTCTTTGTGATCGAGATGCGTCTTCAGAAGATCTTCCAACACTCTCTGTCCTCCTGGCGATCCAGCAGATACACGTTGTCGCGCGTTTATTCTTCTACACACGCCTATCTTCGTCGCTTTCATTTTCTTACTGTCTTCCTCTTTCTTCCTCCGCGTTAAGCAATAGCATCGCGTCTCGTAGCATTCAACGGTGCGGCGTGACGACGATGCGTCACCGGCCGTTTCCTGCCCGTGTATCTCCCCCATTTAGTCCCGTAATAAAATATAACTTATGCCGAGATAGCCGAGTACATTACGATTGTGCGCAACGAGATTTACGCCCGTCCCGGAACGCGTTACACGTGCTGGTAACACGCGCCTAATATGAGGTCCCATAGTGTGCATTCTTCCTCGTAGTGCTACTTCCCCCGTCAGCTCCTTCTCTCCCCCCTCCCCTTGCCCCGTCTCGTACCCTCCCTACGTCACGTCGAACTTAACAACTTCGGTATTGTCGATACACCCCATATGAATAAAAAACGAAAGGGAAGAAAACGAAGCGCTTAGAAAAATACACTCTCGGTATTCTCTCCCGCGAGTCTCGCGAGTGGCGCTTGCGCGTGTGCAGGATGACCCAGGAATCACCTGTGTACGTATGTGTGTATGTGTGTAGGTGGCGAATCCTCTTTCGATCGGCTTCGGGAGCGACAGCTTGTATACCGTGCGTATACTCGTCCGATTTACGCGAAATATCCGCGTGAAATCTCCCCCGGCCGTAACGACGCGTCAGGTCTCCCTCTGTGCTCGCGATTCCACGTAAACAAGGGCCTCAGCCCGTATCAATAGTCATTACTTGAGACTTGCTTCTCGTGTGATGCTTAGATCTCAGTTTAGAGTTAAGCGTGAGTTGTTTTCCAGTTGACTCACGATTACAAATGCAATGTCATGTATATCATACGACTGAACTGAACAACTCAGATCTGACTCTGTAATTCAAACTCACGTATGTCATGTGGGATAAGTGACTATTAATGCGGGCCTAAGACCCTTTCTCTATTTTTCTAACGTCTCACCGGGAAATCCTGCGAAGCACGATCGGGTGGCTCGAGGAAGCTGCGAGGATTTCAGGTCGAGAAAGAGGATTTCAGGTCCCGCATTTTTCCCGGATTCGTGTAGGTACTTGATGAGGTGAAGATATCATTGTACACATGACACTCTGATACGGTCATTAACGAAGGAAATGGGTATCTCTCTATCTCTCTATCTCCCTCTCCTCCTCACGGTGAAATAATTATACATGTGTGCGGGTAAGTATGTGCGTATAGATCGACACTTGTAGCTACAATGTTCCTGTGCCTTATGGATATCTCGTGTGTGCATGGTGGTCATTACGTTAACGATGGCAATTACACCGTAGGGATAAAGTGAATTGAAGGATAAAAAGTAAGAAATTAGAGAAATCTAACGTTACGTAGTAAGCAATATCAACCGAGCTCGCTAGGACGTTAGGAAGTTCGTCGCGTAGCGTTTCAGCTGCTCAATATTTATCAAAATGCAAGTCTGGAAAATTCTGGGCGCTCTCGAGAGGTACCATCGTCTCGCGTCCGATCGTGTGCGGATGTGTGTATGTGTGTTATGTATGTATGTGTGGGTGGGTGGGTGAACGGCTAGGTGTGTCCGTATGTGTGTGGATGGGTGGATATGCTTCAATAAAAATAGAAGAAATAAGAGAATATGTGAGCGTGTGTGCGTGTACGGAACTCTGAGTGCGCTTAGTAATCTGTGCGCGACGCTGACGAAAATTATGGGTACGGTCTCGACTTTTGTGCGCGTGGCGCGCACACGCAATGGCTAGAGTGCCGTGGAATGCTCGAGTGGTTCTTCTCGCGAAACGAGAACGAAGCCGACGATCGCGGTGCGAAAATGCCGGAGTCTCGGATATTCCTTACACGCCGACGGGCTAACGAGGACGCGACGATCGTTCGATTATTTCACGTCGCGTTGCTCGAACTGCAACGAGCGACATCGCATTCCCTCTTTCGATCGAAGAGTTCGCGATCTCGTTTCCGCGCGGGATTGTCGCGTTTTCATCGTCGTCGTCGTCGTTGATGAAAATGGCATGGCCCGGCGATCCGATCGCTTCGATCTCGTTTCCCGCGAAAACGTCCGCTTCATCCGAGGACCGGAAACGACGACAGCCCGTCATCTCGTTCTCCCTAAAGCACGCGTTCCCTCCGCGATCGATCGTTCCTCCTCGCTGCTCTCGTGGATGAGGCGCATACTATTTCGCCGAACGACAGAACGCCGCGCGACCAACGTCGGTTTTCAGAACTCGACGATCTAAGATAGGACAAACTAAACACGCTCCGCTACGTTTTTTGATCAGCGTCGATAACGAAAGGGGTTGTTTCTTCTTCTTTTCCTTCTGTCTATCTCTCCCTCTCGAGCTGGAATGGAACCGCAACGAGCCTCGAACCCGCTGAAGAATGTCGTATGGCCAGCCATGTCGTGGTAACGCTTTCCTCCTCTTGCGCTTAATGTAGAATACAGAATTAGCCTAATAGAGACCGCAGCCGCGCAGATTATTGGCTATGATGACATCTGTGACTGCGTCGAACACAAATTGAATGTTGTTCGTATCAGTGGCACAGGTCATGTGGCAGTAGATCTCCTTCGTGGTCGATTTGTTCTTCGCTTCGAACTGGGCTTGGATATATGCAGCCGCTTCGCTGTATTCCTGCGCACCTAGTGATAGAGAGAGAGAGGCAAATTTTTTATGACGCTCACGTTAATCGGAGTCAGGGCTTTCGCGCGTGCGAATTGCCGTAATCATAGACATAAGACGTAAACTTTAGCCGAAGGACCGATCAGGATTTTGCTATAGTTTTGTGTATTCTAGAAGAAGATAGAACTACCGGTAAATCTATCTGGTCGTATGCAAAAATAATTAGGATCCATCTGATTGATAATCCTATACCGAAGTAAAGCGAATTAAATAAAGAAGATAGCGCAATGCGCAAGCGCGCGCGCGCTTTCTCAACAAGACTCACCGTTGTACTCAGGGAAACAGATTGTGAGAGGAGACTTGCGAATTTTCTCCTCGAAGAGATCCTTCTTGTTCAGGAAAAGGATAATGGAGGTGTCGGTAAACCACTTGTTGTTGCAAATCGAGTCGAATAGCTTTAAGCTCTCCTGCATTCGGTTCTGCAAAACGTCGAAAGAGCGACATCGTAACGTCATTGGTTATATACACATGCACGGAGAGAATATTATAGATTTTTCTCGTACACGAAATTTCTGTCAACTTTACCGTATTTTGTAGTAGTGAGTGTTCCTAGAAACAGATTGCCAGTAGAGTTTACCTTGCTAAGTAAATTTCAGTTTAGCGAATATTTGAATAGTAACAATTTAAATCTAACAAATTAATATGGCAAATCTGTTAATAATATATACACTTAGAAATACTAAAGTATAAGTCAAGTAATATGTGATAAACGAAAGGACAATAAATCGAAACGGAACATCGATATATTCCTCTGGCTACAAAACTCTGCAGCAAGCTCTGCTATAACATTCTCTCCGTGTGCAACAAGTTCCGTGTGCATGCGCTGTTTTTGATCACCGATCGTTTGTGCAAAACGTGGCCTCTTTTTCCGGCAGCGATATGCATATTTCATTAGGCGCAAAAAATTAACAAGCCAAGAAAGAATACGCCAGCCGATATGTATGTTCATGTGTAAACGCCACAACTAACGCGCGAGTGATTCGAGCTGACATTTTACAAAGTTCGCTTTTTCAAGCGCTCCTTTTTGCGCTCAGAATGAGTTTTATTAACGGCGAATGCGCGCGCGGGTCACGAGCAAGTCACGCTCGCGAGATCACGAGATCGGGATAATGACGGCGCCTCGATGACAGCTCACGTTCGTACGCACGATGACGACGGGCGCACGCGAACAGAGGAGAGTTCAACGAAACCTTCCCACGTGCGGCGACCTCGACAATTGATCCCTTAATTCGCCGCAGCTTTCGTTACGTGTGCTCGTCGTCGCATTCCTAATTCAAACGTGATACCCGACTGGCGAGGAACGCGCCGTACGTTCACCCCTTTATCAGTCGCGCCTCTAACGCGGCTTATCCGACTTTCTCAATATAACGTGCGTAGATACACGACGCGTCGGCAATTGCATAGAACGCGAGAGCGAGAGAAGAAGAAACTCTGATATATTTGGGAAGCAATCGGGCAAAGAGCCAATAAGAGTCAGCTATTCAACTTGTTAAATCGTTGATCAAATTATGTAATCTTTGGTTCTTATTCTGAACTTTGTTTCATCGATGAAAGTGCCTCCGAATATGACTTGTAAGCCCTCTAATTGGCTTTCAGTCACATTCAGAGACACTTTTATCAATAAAAGTTATCAGTAAAAGAGAGTTCGGAACAAAGGCTTTTGTCTATAGATTTTTAAACGCGTCTTGAAGTATTTGATTGCTTGCGGGTACCTGCAATATACTCTAAGTATTTTGGTTATCTAAGAAAACGGTTGTGTTGTGTTTTGTTGCGCTACAATGACCGTGCGCAAGCTCTTATTGGCTCTTTATGCAATTACTTTTAAATGGATATCAATAGAGCCTTAAGTTATTTATTGTATTCGCTCGAGTTGCTCACCGTCGTCTCGTCCTCGTGCAACACCTGATCGTATTCGGACATCGCCACGCAGAAGATGATTGCGGTTACGTCCTCGAAGCAGTGTATCCATTTTTTACGCTCGCTTCTCTGACCGCCCACGTCGAACAATCTGAAAAGAAGAGAGAGAAGATGAATATCGCGGATTACCGTTTCGTGACTTTCGAACTGTATTTTTCAATTCCAGTAGTTAATCATGAGTCTTCCCCTCAAGTGTGGACTCGTAAAAAGTGAAAGTGCTTTCGCACGTTCTTAAATTGAAAAATTTCCACTTTTCACGGGCTCACACTTGGCGATAAGATTCAATTACCGATACAATGTCGAGAAGTAATCGCGACAAACGAGATTCCGGCACTCGGGTTTAAAAGCGTGTTAAACGTGTCGGTTCCGAGCTGAGAAGCAAGTCCAGGCCGATTTAACGAGCATGTAATTATCTCGACACGCGTCCCGACAACCGCTAATGACGCTAATTTCGATTCGACGCGAACGGAAAGAAGCGTCGGCCGGGTGCGCGACTCTCGTCGTCCCCGACTCCGTTCCGAGCGAGAACGCTCGAATTATCGCCGGTAATGACTCACACGGCGGCCATTCATAACAAGGTAGCCCTCGCCGCATCTCCGGGAGGCCGCGTCGCGAGATTACAGAAATGAATCGGCATAATGAGGCGAAAACGAGACGATTGATATCGCCCGTTTATTGCGCCTATTATTGCAGACTCGCCTTCGCGATTCATCGCAGCCTCTCGGTTTCCGTTATATTCCAATCGATTCGGTTAATATTTAACTTTGTTTCAAATTACAAATCAAACGAGGTTCGCTTTTAGACTCACTTGAAGTTTAGGTTTTTGAACGAGAAGTGCACTTCCACGATTCCCGTCGTTTTCACTCGAGTCCTAAGGATGTCTTGCTCCGTTGGCTGATATTCCTTGGCTCCTAATCGATCCAAGTCGTCCAAGAAGCTGCCAAAAACGACAAATTTGTAAGAAAAAGAAAACTTTGTCGCAAAACACGTAATAGAGGATTAGTGACTGATTTAGATCCGTTTGGGCTTTTGGGGTACGTAAAGAAAGACTGTGATTGGTCTGTGTCAAATAGATTTTACTCTGTCACGTGTACTTATATTTTTGGTATTCAAATATTTCGACAAACGATGTCGGTTGAATTGATTATCTCGAATATTCCCTTCTTCGTGGAAGAAATATTTTACAACTGTAAATTTCTTTCTTTTTTTTCATATAAACTCTTTTCAATTTTATCACGTTTCGTACACTGTTAAATATTGGAGGATCAAGTTTAAACCAATTTCTTGAGTTAAATAATATTTAGTTATTTTTAACTATCATGTGTGTCAAAATATACTATTTCAACACAGAACATGTATTTAAAAAAACAACCACATTTAATCAACCCATTTAAAACAATATTGTCATTTTTTACTAAAACAAAAGTTACATTAATGTGCACATAATAAAAAATAAATTAAATTTTAGTCAAATTTAATACATTTCTTAAGTTAAATTATTTAACTCCATTACATTAGTTAAATTAACGACATATTTAGTAGGAGCAATGGCGACTTATAGGAATGGTTAAAAATAACTCAAATTGAGTATAATTTGACACTACGGATTTAACAGTGTAGTAATGTAGAAACAGACTGTCGATAGAATCTATCTCGCCAAGGAACATAGATTTTTTAATAGTTAATTTTATTTCCTCAAAATGTAAGTGACACGTATGAAAACGATGCGATACGGTAACAAATTAAGAGAGAATGTCGGTATAGTTTGCAAAATTCTATGGTAATGTTTGATACAAAATACCGCCCGTGTTGTGGAGGATTCTTTTACCATTTATCATTTTCGAGGCGATATTACGGTAATTCGTGCGTAAATTTTGTTTGCTCGGTTATTTTCCTTGTTACACGATACATCCAAATTCGATCTCGAGCTATGGGAACGTTAGCCGGGCGAGACAGCGGGAGGAAGCTAAGGGCGCGGCTCGCAACAAGTAGGTAGCTGGGAGCGGGTGGATACAATAAATGGCGTTACTGTAATCGGGTCTTCGTAAACAGCCGTGCGAACCGGCTGCCAGCCAGCCACCGAGGAAATACTTCCAACATGCGCGATAGAGACGCGCTCGAGAGAAGTTCCTTGCCGATTATCCGCGAAACGAGCGTCGCAATCGACAATACTCGTAATTCAACGCCGAAAGCGGCATGAGAGACAATCGAGCTCTCGACTTGGCAGGAAGAAAAAATATTTTCTTGAATGGCGATTCAGCGCAACACAATACTCCGAATGTAAGAATGCACGGATCGATAGATAGCGAGATGACAATTCACGATCTTGTTTTACGTTTTCAAATAATGTAGCGTCGCTTTTATTGACGGACTGAGAGCTGAGGTGCTCTTCTCAGTGTGGGTGAAATGCATGTGTGCCAAGTGCGCAGCATTGTTGAATCTTGAGCGATATGTTTTTCTAACTGAAAGCAGTTCGCCTCGATTCTTACTTGAATAGCTTCTTTGTATGTTGTATTGTTAAGTTCTGCTGAGGAAGATCGAAACAGAAACGCACTCGCATACCGGCGACTGTACTTATTGAATTCCCGAATAATTTTCAAGTGTGAGATGTTAGGAAGAACCACACAACACCATCTTTCTGGGTCAGCGGGTGCTCGCGGCGTTTAAGAGTTACAAAGTTGAGGAATGTCGGTGATCTCTCTTAACTTTTGTTGTGAAATATTAGACACTTGCAAAAGTTCGTATGATATTAAAGTCATTTTTACTTATTAATAACAATGAGATGACATATAATATTTTAATCAAAGTATTGCCCGTGTTACTACCAATAACCTCGCTATCTTTCGGGCAATAGTTTGATCTCGCGCCGATAAAATGATTCATCTTTTGTGGCAGTCCACTCATCAACACATTTTCGCATTTCCTCAGCATTTCGGGGCCGTGTATCAGATAAACCGTGTTGCATCGATCTAAATAGATGAAAATCAGATGGAGCGATATTTGCGCTGAGTGAACGGCAGGACTTCCTAATCTAACTCAAACAACTCTTTAGTCGCAATAGCAACATGCATTCTAGTGTTGTCGTAAAGCAGAATGACTTTGCATCGATTCGCGGCTATTTGAAGGCATTTTGCTTGCTTCAAACGCCACAATTGACTATAGCGATCTTCTGTGGCTATTTGACCCGGTGGTAATAGCTCATAGTAAAGCACTCCTTGGTTTTCATTAGATACATAGGAAAGCCTTATGATCGTGGATATTATGTTTTGTTATGGATGTCGATGATTTGCCGGGATCAAACCATGATCTTCTGCGTTCAGCATTGTCAAAATAGATTCACTTTTCATCACCTGTAATTATTCGCCACAAAAAACTTTCTTGTGCTTGGTAAGCAATGAAAGACAGATGATAAGCCGATTCACAAACGCACTTGCAGAGGGTCCATAGGGAAGCTATCTTCTTTCCTTTAGAATCTTTCCTATTGTTTTCAAATGACGGGAGTTAATTCATTAACTCTAAGCTACCTTACAAGCTTTTTCGATATTTGAGCCAAGTTTTCGTTAAGCGATACTTTCAATTCGTTATCCTTCATCTCTTTTGAACAACCAGAACGTGGCTTGTCGTTAACATCGTAATCACTATTTCTAAATCTTTTAAACCATTTCTCACAGACAACAGCGGACAGAATATTCTCTCTCACAAATCAGTCTTAGTTCTTGCAGCAGTTTCATCTCTATTAATGTGGTAAAATATGTAGTGGCGAAGATGAACTTTATCTAATTCCATTTTCAATCGCGTTAAATGTGATGTTTTATTTGAAACTATGAATTGTCAATTATCAATTCTGACCAGTATGGCCAAAAAGTATTTAAAAATCTAAAAGAAAATTTAAAAGAAATTACTAAGTCGCTGCTATAGCCATCTATTTGTAACTTTACAAACTTCCCCAAGCACCTAATAAAAAAGGAACGGAATAATAAAAAGAATAGTTGAAAGCTGACAACGAAGAGAAGAAAAAAAATAGAACAAGAAGACAGAGAAGGGAGCAACGTAAAAAAGACATTAAATATGAGAAATTGTAGAGAACGGAAGAATCCGGGGCACGAAGAAATGAAAGAGAGAGAGAGAGAGAGAGAGAGAGAGAGAGAGAGAGAACGCGTGGAGAACGAAAAAAAGAAGAAGAAATTGGAGCACATAACGCCATGAAGAGGACATTTCAGGACACGCTAAACTCGAGACGAGCGTACGCGAGTCCTGATAACGCTTCCCTGAGGAGGGGGAGAAAGGTTAGATTTTTCTGGCGAGGAGGAAAAAGGGTGGGAGGCGGGGGCGAGGAGGGGAAGGACGCGGAGGAAAGAAGAGCGAATAAACCGACGAGAAAGTCGGATAGAAGGTATACGCCGGAACCGCACGGTCGGCCATGTTGGCGGCATGCCACGTGACACGGGCGTGGCGTGACGTCATCGACGATCAATAATGACGAAGAGGAAAGGAGAGGGAGAGACGCGAAGAAGGTGGCAGAGAGAAAGAGAGAGGTCGTCGCGAGTTCTCGTACATTTCGACTATCGAAGTCCACCACCGTCACCACCGCCACAACTATCGCGCCACAACCATCACCATCACCATCACCATCACCGTCACCACACCACCACCGCCCACCGCCACTGCCGTCGCTACTATCCACCTTCACCGTTCCTCTTTCTCGATCTCATCTCCCGCCGAACCTGTCACATCTCCCCGACGTTCATCCTCCGCGACTTCTTCAGGAAATTCACGTTACCTTCTTCCGGTTCGCTCGTGAGATTGAGTCTCTCTCTCTCTCTCTCTCTCTCTTTCTCTTTCTTTCTTTCTCTCTCTCTCGCAAACGTCTCGGCGACGTTTTACACACGAAACTCTGCAAGCTACCCTCGCGTGAAAACCACCCTCGTTTTCTCGCGTTCATTTTTTCGGTAGGCGGATGTCGGAAGAGCAACTATGATCATGACTTTAATGACGAGTTTCTTTGATCAAATCTAGGGGCGGGAGGGGGAGAAGCTATAAGTCCTCCTTTAAACAAAAAAGTGCCAAAACAACGATAAATTAAGAGTTATAAATCAGAAATATGACACAAACCAATTTTCCATGATTTCTAACGATGGTCAACTAGGCTCGCGTCATAGCTGGAGATTTGTCTCACATATAAGATACTCAGATCTATATTAATAGTTATCACCTGAAACCTGTCTCATGTAAAGTACTCAAATTTTTATTCAGAATTAGATCCAAGTTTTCCAGTGGAATTGTAAAAGAGATATATATGTGAAATTTATAATCGCGATTTAACCAGAAAACTCTCATCTAACTTTGAATTCAAATCTAAGTATCTCATTTGGAATTTTAAGTAATAACTATTAAAAATACAGAATTTTCATTCAGAGTTGGATCTGAATTTTGTTCTATCGAATCATATCATACACGTAATTATATCATTATATCTGTAATCGCGATTCTACTTAAAAATTCACATCCATAAGAATGTTAATTCATGTTAATAGTCATTACTTGATTACTTTTCAAGTGAGATATTCAGATTTCAATTTTGAATTGTTCGGTTGATTCGCGATTATAGATATAATGCCACACTCATACAATTCGGCTGCGAAACTCAGAGCTAAATTAAAAGTAAGTATAGTACGTGAAACATAGTAAGTTTCAAGCAACGATTATTAATACGAGTTCCAGCATACTGTTTGTATTTTGTTTAGACACAAAAGACAATCACTTTTCCCGGAAAAAAATCCCGAAGGGAAGCAGCTAAAACGCGAATCTCTTCAGCAATTATGACGTAAAACTCCAAAAGTTCAACGATATATATACATGTACGCGAACCATCGCTTTGATAAGCCGTGAAATACAAGGCGGCGCCACGGTTTCTTTGTGTACATTTGATCTATTAATACTCGGCAAGGCCGTTTTTGTTTTATACACGGATAACGTGGGTGGTGTAGTTAGGCGTCTGTTGTTCCGCGGCTGTCGTAAACGTATTCCCGTGCGTCAAGGAGGTCGTGAAACGTCGGCGACGGCGCGCACAGAACCGCGCTAATAATTTCCACGAATTATCGAAAATTGAATTCACACGTTGATGTGTACCTTCACGTTTCACGACCTCGTCGAACGCGTGCCGTCCGCACCCCGTTCCGTTTATCGAAGAGACCTCGGCTTTCGTTCTACAGGATTATTACAGGACCGCGGGTTGGGCTTTCCAGTGAATGATATATCAGGCCAGAGAAAGAGATGTGTGTATGTGTGTGTGTGTATGTGTTCACTTGCGTGTGCAATAGTATACTGCACGATAGCGACGGTATCGTGCTGGCCGGTGCGAAACCGCAGTGCGGTTTATTAAAGCAAAGGACGGCGCCAGAGACGGCGCGTGAGTCGCGGCTGAAAAAGAAAAAAGGAAAGAAAAAAGGAAAGAAAAGAAAGAAAGGAAGGAAGGAAGGAAGGAAAGAAAGAAGGAGGGAAGGAAGAAAGCAAGCAAGCAAGACGATCGCTTTCATACGGCAGCTATTGCGTGCAAGCCGGTTTCCGTCAGTTATGGAAGGCAAACACGTATGTACGCGCCAGTTGGAGCCGCTATATCAGCCGGCTGGACCTCACAACGACGAGTCGCGACAGCGGGTGGCACATATACCGCCGGCGAAATTGCGCGCGCGAGCCGGCGATTTAATCCTCGGCGAGCAACTTGTATTTATGTTACGACGTTTGCGATTTCGCCCTCCGCGTGTTCAGCAAGACGGCCTCGCCAAGAAGAAAGCGACCCTCGCCCGCATTTTCGGCAAATGCGGAGTGTCTTCCTCGATCTATCGAACGGCCACATGCTCAAGAAAATGCTCCTGCAGCAAAAATTATCTAGATACGAGAAATTAGCTCAGATAAATGGCCAGCAAACACTGCGATATCGTGTGTTTGCTGGGGATATGTTTTCTATTCAATCAGTATAGATAGTATAGATAACAGAGACAATATTGATATTTATAAATCAGCGACGAGAGATAATCGAATTGATATTTGAAATTGTGTGTGCGGATTGTATAATTCTTACATTCACCTAAATTTGCTTGCAGATATAGGTAGAACTAAGGAGCATGACAAATTTTGGGAACAATTCTTAATAGCAAATTTTTTTTATGAACAATGTTTCAATAACAGATTTCACTTCCTAAAATATAACCAGCGCGCAAAATAATCAATTACGACGAACTGCTGACCTACTCCTCGGTTACAAAACTCTATAGCAATCTTTACTATTAAAATTCTCTCTTCGTTACACGCAACGCGCGAGTGCTCGCGAATTTTCGCGACCCGCCCCGCCGAATACCGCACGAAAAAGAGAATTCAGTTGGATCAACCAAATTGCCGGCGTAATACAAATGAATCGCAACATTCCGGCCGAAGTCGTCGGAATTCTACTCGAGAGTTAACAAGATTTCTGATTAACTCGAGCGGAATTCTGGTAACTGCCACCGGAGAACTTTCTGGCTCGTTTGTACTTCATCAGAAATTTCGTTAATCCAACTACAAACGTTTTTTTTCCCCCCGCGAATCATTCCTACACTTTATGTACGAGCGGAGGACAGACACCGAGATCATTATTATACATGCTCAAAGTATCTTCTAATAAGAGAAGAAAGAGTGCACGTTTAGCGGAGGTAATTGATGAAAGTATTGGAAAACGGGACTACTGCCCCTCCTTTCCCTCCCTCTCCCACGAGATACACACAAAAGCGCTACTATAAAATCAATATCCAGCGAAGGGGCAGCGCGCGGAAATATGCCTGCGAAACGTATCGAGCAGTGGCGGAGGAGGTGAAGGGGGAACAGAAAGAGAAAGAGGGTCGGGGAAGGGGAGAAGGGGCGACAGGTCTCGCGTTCAGGATGAGGTTCTCGTTGGTGCCTCCGCCCTTTCGCGGGCGAATTCTCAGAAGTGAAATTTAAGTCCGGACACCATCTCCTCTTGCTGTCATGACGCGTGACACGACTCACGGCAACTAATCCCGGTGCAAATTTACCGGGTCGAAATTAGAATCGCGTGTTAATGGAAAATTTTAATCAAGTTCTCGCGGAGCGCGCTTTCGCTCGCGCGAAATATCCAATCTCTCCCCCGAAACAATCTCCCGCTTGGACAACAGCTTTCGATATATCCCTCTCCTCCCACTCGTGTCGCAAATGCCGCTTCACTCTTCGAAATCGAGTCCAGCTGATCTAATTCGGCGAGTTGTCGCCGCGCGCCCCGAAACACGTCCTCTTGCGATTCTCTTCGCGTCGTCTGTTCACCGAGAAGAGAACACCTTGAACATCATCTGCGGGGAATATAAAGTTTATTTCTGTGCGAATCGACTTTATATCTCTCCCGTAGATAGGTGTTTGAGTGTTTCCTTCGCGTTGTGGCGCGTTGGCGCGCTTGCGGACAATTCTGCCGTTCGCATTCCGCGAAGATAATCGTTCCCATTGTTTAATGTCACTTACTATTTCGCGGAGTCGTTCAACTGATACTCGTTGCTTCTGCCGAAGCACTCCTGCACCCCGTTGTCGGCCCACAGCCTCTTCATGGCGACCAGCAATTCTTCACTAAAGGGCTCCGTGTCTTCCATTCTTTGGATTACGTCGAACACCATTTTCGCATCCGTCTGGAAGCACAAACAAGCGTGATTCAGTCCTCTTTCTTCAATGTTCTCCTCGCGTTGTTCCGGAGTCGCGGTGTTAAATATTGCACTAATTGCTTATATATAGGTATATGCGAACAAATAAATAAATATTATTTTGTAACTTGCGTGAAAAGACACTCGACGAGACGGCACTGGGCGTGACGTCGAATAAAATCGTTTATCGATACAAATGAATTGCGTAAATCGACGCACACGCGATCTTGGTATGGTGTTTGTAGTATTATACATCGTACTCACACACACACACACACACACAAATATTAAGGAGAGGTAGTCAATAATTATTCATGCGATCTTGGAGCAAGCATCCGGCAAGTTAGATAGCCTTACACGATCGCTTTGGACGGCTAATCAAGCAGGCAACACGTTGTGATTCGCCGTTGAATGCTTCATTCATTAGATAATCATCAGCCTGCAGTAAACTACACTCTAGATTGTATGTCACGTCTCGCGCGCTAATGCAGTCGATACGCGATATTCGAATGGCACAAACACGCGGGAGAAAGAAGTCTACCGAATTCGATTTTGCGCATAACACTTCTTTGAAGTCGTGCGAGTTGTCGGCATACGCGACATGCAAAATTGTTGCGAAGAAGGAGAATTCTGATAAGAGACGAATGATCAATCTCTGCACATTTGCACGTCGATTTACGCTGCAGACTTAAACGTTAAATCTTCGTCGCGTCGATTCAACGGGAAATTAAAGAGAAAAAAAGTTCTTCCCAAACTGGAAAAATTGCTGACAGAATAAATCGCGTCAGGCGCGATCGCGAAATATCGGTCAATCAGACTGCGAAGCAAGAGAGTTTCTTCCTTTTTGCAACTCGCGCGCGTACTCCGCGCATACGCGTATACATTACCTCTCGCTCGTTGGTTGAAAAACTAATGCCCAGATTAGGCATCGCTCTGAGAATAGCGACTAGAGATTGTATCGTGTTGCTGTATACAACCGGTCTGTACTGCTTGAAGTCTTCCGGCGTGAAGCCGCTCTCGTGAATAATTCTGAAAGCAAAATCGGTCTGATGTTAGTCGTCTGGCGAGCAAAGGTTACTAGGCAAAATATCTTTTTTAGCAGGCATTCAGATGGATTAACCTCGAGATAACATATATAATAGATAAATAGATGATCACGCCGTCATTTGTGAGTGGAAAATACGAAACTGTCACGGGAAAAAATTCTTAGCTGCGGCAGCGAGAATCTGTAAATAGGATGAATTCTTAGGTCCGATTTTTTCACTCTCTTATAAGCTAACTAAGTAAGCTAACTAACAATTAAATCATATGTCTGTCTTTGTTCTTAAAGCTTCAAATTAGGTAAACAGACGTATGATTTAACTAGTAGTTAATTAGCTTGCTACATAAAGTTGAAAAAATCAGTCCTTGTAATTAGCCTTTGTAATTAGCTAATTTGGAAATATTGATTCTGAGACATTGAGACACGACCAAAAAACCAGGATCTTTTCATTGGTTATAAAATACCTTGTAATCAATTTACGTTCCTTCTTGGTTATTATAGGTTATAATATAGATATATTTTAACATATTAATTTTTTTAAGTAATTAGATTGAATAAATTAGATACAAGAGAGAGAGAGAAAGAGAGAATACGTAAGTAAAACGTTTGTTCATTATCAGGTCAACATTGAACAATCAATAGAACATAGCTTTCTATTATTTTTTGATATAAATCATTAGTCTCAGAAATTAGACTAATAAAATTTCTTTATTAAAATCATAAAACGCGCGATCATTAACAAAACAATAGCAAGAAAAAATCAATATAAAATTGACGTCCCTACACGGAGAAAAATAATTTTGCTCTTTTAGCAAAATCGTCATTGCTACTGCATATTCGTAATGACATCAAAAAAATTTAGTTGACGCAACTAATTTTACAAATTATTCGTTATCAGAGCAGAAGTAGTTTCGTTGTCAAGATAGAAAAAATTTGTTAAGTGTATTTATCCTAAGAATCACGTTAATTTGCTATTGATGCAAAATAATGTATCTTTAGCAAATTTATTTGCTATCGGAGCAAAACTACAACTGCTTATATAAATTTATCATCGTTCTTATAGCAAATTAATTTGTAGATTCAGCAAATTATATCCAGCAAATAGTGATTAGTACTCTTAACAAATCTTTTTGCTGTCCATACAATAACGAAAAGATTTTGCTAGACCAGCAGAAAATTTACTGGGCCAGCAAATTATTTTTCTCCGTGTAAGATACGTTTCTGTAAAGAATGAAAAATCGGAATGCTCCGGAAAATTCAGAACAGTTATACATTTTCATAGTAATGTAACATGACCTAAAAGTGACATAAACACCTAAAAGTGTAACTACCATAAGTGTATATTCAGCTATGAAGTCGATGTAATAGTAAAAGTTTCGTCTGAATCTCACTCGAGACGAGAAAAAATTTACTCGAAGCTTGAAAAAAATACTGCCACTCGAAGCCGTGAAGACTGAGTGATTCCCTTCGAACTTAGAATAGAGTCTGACTGCATACAAGTAAACGTTTCAATTGATCAGAATGAAATTGTTCCCGTGACAGTGAAACACATTAGGTCCACTCTTCAGTTTCAAATGGAAAAATTCATTGGACAATTCACAGAGTATAGAATTCGCGCTCTGCATCAGTGAAAAGTCACTCGAACTTGATTAACTCGACCGGTGCTCTACTCTTCGAGTGCAATTTCACTGCGCGCGCGATCTAAAGAACAATTCAATCGCGTTGCCGCGTTATCGGGAGGCCCGTGCACATAAGAAATTCGCGGGGAGACGGGGTGGTTCACTGCGGTGTACAAACGCGCGTGTCGTGTGCGCGCAAAGCGGGTCGTATTAATGTACGCCACGTAATGCATCGTGTGTAAACGCACGTATGAATTGCAATGTGTGCCACATACGCTCCGTGACTTACACGAGAACGGGCTCGTACATGCTGTAACAATGTTCAAAGTCAACACAGGTGAGTTATAGAGTCGGCGCGGCTCTATACACGTACAAGCGAAAACACGAAGTAATATCGCGCGGGGTGGATTTATGCCGGCACACTGGCGGCTTACCTATACTTCTCGGCATAATCCCGCGAATGTCCGCGGTGTGTAATTCAAGCGAGATATGCATGTGTATACATATACATGTACGTCTATTATCGTCAAAAAGCGACCTACATTCGAGAGAATGCGAATCCGCGGAAATCTAATAACGAACTTGGATATCTAACACACTGAGAGAAAAAATATCTTAAAATTCGTAAATATTTATGACTACTGATAGTGCATATTTGGCTGAAATCTAAATTCTTTTATCTAAATAGAATAAATGTTTTTTTTTCATGAAAAACTAAAATTTCCTGAAGATTTTAAGGAAATATATATTTTCTTATTTGAACAATATTTTATATTAGTGTAAGTAAATATGCAGTTAGTATACTTATCAAGTAAATATTTATTATCTCTTAAGTATTTTTTCCCTCAATGCAGTAACTTGGACGTTTCTACCGTAGAATGAACAAATCGGCATGTCTCTCACTCCTTCTTGCTTGTTTTTCTTCTTTCTTTTGGAAACGAGAGATTTTTTATAAATATATCTTTCTGACTGACCATGTTGCGTGTCTGAACTTTGTACAGCAGCATCTTTTGACACACACGCACATATATATATATATGAAAAAAAAGTAAAAGGACGGTCTAAAAATATTCAAACTGGAGAGAATATTAATTATAATTTTCCCGTAATAAAGAGCGCTTTTAAAATACACAGCACTCGTCACTTCGTTAGAGCAGCCGTCATGGGTCCCCGTTACAATAATAGCGTTACATTAATAGCGTATTAATCCCAACAAAGAATATTATACTGCCCATTATGTTAATAAATGGCGCAGAAACACATAGCGGCGTGTCCGCTGTTTCGAGAGTATAACGATATTAACGACGGCATAAAGACCACTATGTACGCACGCACACAAGTCGCCTCGGGTGTGCTTTATGGGTGCTCGCACGGGAAGGAAAACCAGCCGCGAGTGTGTTGTGTGTAAAATCACACCTCGCTCGTACTTCAGCCTCGAGTGCTGTTCGCCGCATTATGCGCGTCCATAAATTCCGCTGCCGGAATGCACGAGAAACGCAGGTGCGCGAACGGATGTTCTCTCTGATGTTAGCGCAGCGTTGCGAAAGTATAAACATTCAACACTGATATTAATTAAGCCGGTTATTAAAACCAAATTAAGCGAATTGACAATCATGTACACCGCAACACGTAACTGTGCATTTTTACATTCTTTTTTTCGTAGTCCTTTGCGCCCATCTTGAAAATTCAATGTTATTTTGATAGAGTTACTTTAATAGAGACATATTAGATACGTGTAAGTAGCATTATTTCAGAAGTTTGATTTGAAAGTAGTTTCAGCGGGAAAATAATTTTTTAAATCTTCTTACGCAACGTTAGAAAATTGATGCAGAAATGAATGCGATTTTCTTCAAAGACAAGCTATCACCGAGTAGCTCGAAAAGTGTTCTACACTGAGAGAAAAAATATCTAAGAAATAGTAAATTATATATATATTTATTCAATGGGATATATATTAATGACTAATACTAAAATATATGAATATTTTTTAAATAAGAGAATATATATTTTTTAATTAACCTTAAGAAAATCTTATCCACACGACAGTTAAAGTTAAACTTTTCCGTTTACGGAAAAATATGGAGATACAAATTGGAGTGAGAATCGTTCCGCAAGAGGTCGCATTTTCGCGATGTATCACCGGCGCTTTCGCGTTCGACGCTATCGATGTCCACTTAACATCCAAGATAAAGATAACGACGAGCGAGAATACTCGGTGTCGGGTGATTGAAAAAGCTCACGCGAGAGAATATCGACGCTCCGACGCCCATCGAGAGACACACCGGCAGCGGCTTTCCTTCCTTCCTTCTTTCTTTCTTTCGTCGCGAATACGCGCACAGCGGCAACTTTGTTCGCCGGGCCCATTGAACACAGGCCCATTCACGAGCGGAACTCGCAGGAAGAGGCTCGGCCACAGAGGGGAATATGTTAATCCGCGGCGCGAGAGCGCGACGTTAACATCTCGGGCGCAACGAGCGCGCGCGCGTATCGCCGAACAGCTGCTGGCTCCTCCTTGAATACAACGTGCAACCCTGTATCGCGTAACACCGCGAGTATCGATCCCGCCGCGAGGCAACAGTTTGCCTCGAAATAATGCCGATACACGGATGCGAAAAGATTAATCTACTCGTGGCACACGCGAGAGAGACGAACGAGCGCAGAACATTTCGTGGGATCCAAATTTCCCAGATAAATTTATAGGCTCCAATTGGCTGATCTATGTGGAGTCATATGTACAGCAATGCATAAAACAAGGAGAATACGTGGAATCGGTTAATCAGAAGTTTGTAACTTGCGATTCTCTAAAGCCCATTCTACAATGGCAGTAAAAAGTAGGAAGTAAGAGTAAGAAATTGACCAATCCCAGTCGAATATGAGAAGAATAATTAATCATAATTGGTCAATTTCTTACTCTTATTTCCTATTTTTTACTGCTTACTGCCATTGTAGAATGGGCTTTAGAGAATCGCAAGTTACAAATTTCTGACTACCGATTCTACGTATTCCCCTTGTTTTATGTATTGTTGTACGTATGATCCCACATAGATCAACTAATGGAAAGATCCGAGCGAATTGTGTGATCCGCCGAATGTTTCCCCAAAGATTCTTACTGCTTTTTATTTTATATCAAAGTTTAAGACAACATACGGAACACGCACGCACACACACACACACACACACACACACACACACACACACACACACACACCTCTTTTCGGGTGTCCATACTTTATAATTAAAAATATTCAAAAAGAGTAAACTTCGTGTTTTCTTTTTTTTCATTTTGTAATCTGTTGCATTTAATAGTTAGTTTAAAAGAAATGTCCTCTATGTAATTCCATAAAAGTATACCGATTTTATGTACTTAAAAAAGAAAAAGTGGGAATTTTTCCACGATATTTCTATCCTGATTATGTGCAATCATTTATTGTCTACACGGAAAGAAAAGTTACATTTGATCATTAACCAAATGTCTAGTAAAATATAAATAAACCAAAAATTCTAGTAAAAGTTACCAGTTTGAGTCAACAAGATTTCTAATTACTTATTAGAACTTACAATTGTTCAAGCCAACCAGAAATCTTGTTAACTTGCATAGAATTCTGGTAACTTCAGTCGGGGTTTTTGGTTCGTTCATATTTTACCAGACATTTGATTAATCCAACCAAACTTTCTTCCGTATGTTCCAATGTTTGTGAATAGAGAGCTCATGATTGAGATAGGAACGGGATTCCCGATTGGTGCCATAGTGGGATAAGTTATTTTGGGACAAATTGGGCCATTCTGACTGGAATGTCTGCTGTTTCTGGAAAATTTTTGGGAAAGACGCTCGTGTGATCGTTAAGTGTTTGATTTGTATTATTAGAAGTTGAACATGACGGAGAGTTCATCGGGATCTGGCAAAGAAATCGAGTGATGTACGATGAAACATGACTCGAGTCATTTAATTCCCAAGCGAATAAGCATACGTTATGACTCAAACCGTTTAAGTTCTACTAAGCAAACCGAAACACACTTAATTAGTGGGCTGACTCATTGCCCGACGGTTGTAAATTCGTATCATTTAAGTTCAAGCGACTCCGTAGCTGGATAGGGTGAACTTCTCGTGAAGGAAAAACCAAGCGACTGATTAGTTGAGATCAACATTAAACTTAGCCATTTTTAATAAAAGAAATTGAGATAATGTCGGCAATAATGGGGAAAAAAATGAAATAAGCAAAAATAACAAATTTCAGAAGTACAACAAAATATAAGATGTCTATTTTTCTTAATATTTATCGTAAATTTAAGGAAACAAAAAATAACGCGAAAGTATGTTTGAATACAATAAGTTTGAACACAAGTTTTAATTTTTTGGTCTCGACTTGTTATTTTAAGAAATTAGATAGATAGATAAATTTATTGCGTACTCTGGAAAAAAATTTCCTTAAAAATATTGATGTTATTTCAATAGAAAAATATCAGGTGTAAACAATATTTCAAAAGTCTGATTTAAACAGTGACTTTAACGGGAAAGAATTTAGAAAATGTATTATAGACAATTATGAAAAATTGATGGAAATTCTGTTTTTGCTGTCTTCCCTTAAGATAAATAAACTATCATTAGACAACTTCTAAAGGACTCTATAGATATGAATAAAGTTAATTAAATATTTTATTTTTATATGCCGTATCCTCAAGCATACCCCAGAATCTCTAGGAGAGTTATATAATATAAAGAGGATGTGGCTAAAAAAGAAAAAAGCTCGACAAACTTTCGCAAGCCTCTAAATACAAATCTGAACACCGTCTTAAGTTTCACCGAGAAACCAATGAAAATCACTTCACACAATAATATCGTCGGGATTCTCGAGATAAATGTGGAACCTCACAAGTGGTACATACGATGAAGAGGAAGCGTGGGAAAATATTTCCGGCGATCAGGTCGCAGCTGACCGGTGAGCGCTCGCAGCAAATTAGCATTTCCGCGAGGAGGTCGCAGCGCGACTCAAAGAACGCAGGCGGCTTCACCGGACGCCTCATTGTGCCCCATTGTGTCACCGATTCATTCCCATCGTATTCTTTGCGCGCATTCCTCGCCCCGTTTTCCAAGGGAGGAGTCGCTCAATTTTCGGTTTCGAGGTTGGACATTCTTTTTATCACGCCGCGGCACGAAATCCGCCTAATTACGCGCGCGCACGCACGAGCCGAATGAATCATCCTCTTGGCGCTGCACAATAAACCGTATTTCCTCTGGACGCAATTCTTTTACGGTCTCGCTATAAAACGCGCGCAGTACGTAATAATTGTGTCAACGTTTCCGCTACAGTGGCGTAATTTTTATAATTAGGCCGATGCTTTTAATCCTTTGAGTCCCGATCTTTTTATGTCGGAAATTTAGCATTATTTCAACAGAGGGATATCAAAGAGGTGTAAATAAATTTTCTAAAGTTTCACTTGGAAAGTGGTCCCCGCAAAAAAAGATTACAAAATTTTGTTATGAAAAATTAGAAAAATTGATGAAAATTTAATTGTTCTTTTTTTTAATATAAATAATTTATCACTAGACATTTCCAAAGGCGCTCTATCTGAACATCATAGATGAATCAAAATATTTTTATTATCAGAGATGTATGCGCCTCTCTTAAAAATATCAAAGAGAGAGTAAATAGAGCTTCCAAAGTTTAATATGAAAAGTGGTTGCAGCAGGAACAAATTAAAAAATGTTATTATATGAAGGATTAGAAAAATTGATGAAAATTAGATTGTTACTTTTTTCAAGATAATTAAATTATTCCTAGATAACTCCAAAAGCGCTTTATTGAACGTCACAGATAAATCAATCGGAACATTTTTATTGTTAGAGATATGTTGTATGCCAAGTCTCCTCAAGGATACACTGAGACTCAAAGCGTTAACAGTATAAACTCATTAACGCGACGCTTGTATCGTTTACACTTCTTCTTCGCCAATTTTGAAATTTTATATCTCGCCAATGCTAAAATGAGCTTGTTTGATCCGAAGAGTTTATCAGCGACCAACAAAATCTCTATTGAAAGCTGTTACATAATTAAGTCGTATTTAATTATTATAATTAGTAATTGCACGCACGCACGCTCACGGAAATAGTCGATATGTTAACGAACAACCACGCATAGGGAGATGCGTAATCTCGCTTCAACAATAGAATACCCCTTCCCCTTCAAATGATAATCAGTACATGTAGTACGAGAGAGCGCCAAAGCGATTATACTTACTTCATTTGTTTCACGATGGTGCTCTTGCCGGACTCGCCCGCTCCTGAAAAACAGAAAAGAGGTATCAGTAATTGCGCGCAATTAATCGCGCGATTACGCGTATCGCCGAATTACACTACGAGATGAACTTTGCGCGATGCGCAACGCGAGAATCGAGCTTCTCGCTCTCAGTTTTGCTGCAGATGCAGACCAACTTTGTTTTGCGAAACTCGCGATTCTCACGGAATCGCGCGACAACGTCTGACACTGAACGCTGCGAGAATCGAAAAGTCGCGACAAACGGGAGCCGCAGCTCGTGAAATCGTCGTCGGAAAAGATCTCTCGCTGAATTTAAAACGTCGGAAAGCGTGTCGGCTGATGCCGCAGCGATGAGTCATCCCGTGAATCGAATTCGTGTTTTCATTGAGCGATGCAAGAGGAAAGGAGGTACCCATGATCTCCTGGAGACTCCAGGCGTTAACCCTTTGCGATGCAAATGATTTTCGATTTTTCTTCGGGAGTTCTGTGGAAATTAATTTAATTTACTTCGCGATGATGTCGCGAAGTTTGCGTTTGTCTCAATATTTCAGTACTGAACTGATGCAACGGCACACTTACAGCAACATATTAAGGACATCCATAAGTAATCAAGTATTTCACAAAACGAAACCCAATTGAAGGTGTGTAGACGAAGCTTTTGTGCTTTCATAAATAATATAAACGCGGAGGCTTGAATAATTTAACGAATGAAAGATCGGTTTATAGAATCGATCAGGACGTCGAAGTAAACTCGACGTAGGGCCGCAAAAAGTTTATCCATCATTGACAAACAGCAAAGACACTTCATGTTCGCGAAAATCAAATTGATGAGCGCATGGGAACAACTGGCGTAATCGCGAAATATGCCAGTAGCTCTAGCCGGATACGCCGCTCCGTGCCGGCGGAACTCGCTTTTTCCTGCTTCCCTTCATCGCACCTTCACCCAATCGCCACTCTCCTCCGACGTCTCTAACCATTTCGAAAGCACTTTCAGCGTAAGTGCAGCCGTTTATAATAGCCACTCACGGCTAGAGCCGTTTAATATCGACTGGATACACGCGCGATATCTCAAGTGCGCGCCCTATAGGCTGAAAGAAGAAAGAGTCATCTCGAGACACCGACGATGATCCTCGTCGCGCCCTCGTTGAAGCAAAAACACCCGGAATAGAGCTAAACGAGTTGCAAATTCGTCCCGGAGCACCGGAAACCATCGACCGACACGCTCTGGAGCCTCCGTTGGTTGGCTGGCTGACGTGACGTCATGTTCCAGTCCCTCTCTCCCTCTCCCTCCCTCTGTCGAATTCTATTCTTTTTATATTACGTTCCGCTCCAGCGAAATAGAACAGACTCTAAAATAGGATGCCCGGCAAAATAGAACGCGTTCTCGACGCCACGATGAAACAGGATGAAATAGACTCTAGTTTCACGCGCTGCTTAGCTCTCTCTCTGGTTGGAACGCGGCTCAAACCTTGTAATGCCGCCGGTAATCCTTGTCAGACTCCGTCTCTGACTACGGCAACTCTAGCTAGATATCTAACTAGAGCTCACTACGCCGTGTCAATTGCGTATACCCACACGCATACACGCAGTGTCGTTTTAATGCACTTTCGCGCTTCGGCATTCACCGGTTTTCGGCATTCTCGACGACGACGAGCAGCGGTGTCGTACCACTGAATATTCCACATCGCGTCTCACGGTCGTTCGCTCTCCTTTATTTATCAAGATCGTTCGCAGTTACGATACATATTTTAGACAGGACGCGCCCAACCGGGAAAACACCCAGATAGACTTGCCTGATTGTCCCAACGTGAAACAATCGATAATGGAGACTGCTCTCTACAATGCTCTCTAATTACACTCATGGAGCACATGCGCTGTATCCAATTAATCATATAATTTATATCATTGCAGTGACGCGAATTTTTTGTTATATTGACGTGACAATAAATTCTGGGCAAAAAATATTCGTGAAATTTTTGTATTATGATGATTATATGATGTCTTGAGGAGAGAGAGAGAGTGATTATTTAATATTTTAATGATATTTTAATAGGAAAAGCACTATAAGAGTCTAAGTGTCAGTCGCATTTATTTACATCATTATACATTATATTTTATTGGAACGTCTCACACACTAAAGGAAAAATATCTAAAATAATCACAATATATATAAAATAATCTAAAATATCATACTAAAATGAAAAATATTGACGATATATTCACTGACATTTAAATTCTTTTGTTTAAATAAAATAACGATTGCTTTTATGAAAGGCAACGATTTTAGAAAAATATATATTTTCTCATTTGAAAAAAACGTTTTCTCTGAATATAAAAATATATGTATATTAGTGCAAGTAAATACATTAATAAATATATAATTTTTTTATTTTTAGATATTTTTTTTTTTTACACAGTGCACAATAAAGCAGTTTTATTGCGCCTGAATATGGTTGCATCCCGCATAAAAATGTTTTTGGCATTTAATCGGGATCCAACCGAAAATAATTTCTCAAAATAATTATGGATTCCGATTAGAAATATAATATTTTAAATATGCGATTTTCTGGTTTTAAACATACGATATGTGATAAGAAATCCAAAGTTTTCTCAATATTTTTATTTTACGTTAAAACGTATTAAAACGTATTGACTTTCCAGATAATTTAATTATTCAGCAAAATTCTGGAAGTATTTTAAAAATATTTCATTTTTTTATATATTATTCTATTGAATACAATAGTTGATATAAAAATGGGATTCTCTGTCTGATACCGACATTATGGACTGAAGAAAACGCAAATTTCTATAGTATTTCTGTTCAGATTATAGACAGAGAATCCAGGTTTGGAATATCTAATTGCTATCGTAGGATAACCATTTGGGAACAAAATTGTTTTTATCAGTCAGAATCTATGCTACATATCTGCGAAAATTTTTAGAAATTTCTACGCGTAATACAATGATCGGAAAACTTCGCTAATATATAATATGTGCGTGCGTACAATAAATAATAAATAGATGCGACCAACGTTTACAATTAAGCTTTCATCGTTCTTCTAACAAAATTGGTTCCGAGTAGCTTCTGACAATTCCTTTCACATTTCCGTTCATATTTCTGTTATTCCATATGCGATAAGTACTGAGTGCCGTGTGAGCATGCTGAAATAACGAATATAATCTCTGCATATCAACTGGCAAAGTTGCTGCCAAAGTTGCTGCCAAATTCGTTCTGTCTATCTAGAGGCGTTTAAAGCGGAACTGGTAGAGATGTTAACGACGTTCTCGTGTATCTCGTGTTCGCGCTTCCGGCACAAAAGGGAGAGCTTACGTATTAATACGTACGCTGCGGCAATGTTTTAATATAACTTAGAGAGCCGCATCTCTCCCGCGCGTTCTCTCGCGATAAATGTCAGCCGCCATTCTATGCGTTCTACGTTCATCGTTCCCCGTTTGCAGGAGAGAGAGAGAAAGAAGGGGAGGGAAGAGGAGAAAGAGAGAGAGCTTAGAACTGCACGATCGTATCTATTTTCACATCCGAGCGGAGAATGCAAGTCGATGCGCGATGATGTACACAGTGCGCGCACTGTATCCATCGTTATTTCCTGCAGCTGCCTAGCTTACGACCACCACAGCAGCCCTGACGGCATCCTCCCTTCTTCCTCCTCCTTCTCCTCCTCCTCCTCCTCCTCGTCCTCCTACATTCACCTGCTCTAACTGCGCGTACAACTCGAAGCTACCTTTATCCATCGCGTACGATAAAAGTTGAACGTGGCGATAATTTAGATAAATTTGAGTGCAGGAGACAAAAGATACTGTTTGCGCGTATAAGCCGCGCCAATATCGATTCGCCGCACCATCCAGAAGATCAGCCGTGCGAATTCACAAAAATGCCACGCAAATCGAGTCAAATTGAACGTAATATCGCTGACATTCGTGATGCGGAGTTTACGAAGAAAAGAACTTGCAGTAAAAATTATTACGGGGTTTTTTAGCCAAAAAGCACGTCGACATTCTGCTTTAATTTATTGTACTTTAGTTTCAATTTACAACAAAGATTATCTTCTTGATAATAGTCTTAAAATAAAGTCACTAAACATTTTAGAAGATCTCATTATCGTGTAACTCAAAAGAGAAGAATTTATCCCTTTTACAAGAATATTATAAAATTTGGTCGACAAAAAAATTGGTCCAATTCTATGTAAGCAAGCCGAATTTTTCTTTTAATTTCATATTCTTGATTGAAATGCTCCCTGGTATTCAGGATGCATTTTGAATAAATTTAGTACTTATGTGTGATGAATTTATTATAGATATATAAGCTTATGAGATATTTGAAACACGATTTGTTTGAATGCAGTATATATTTTTCTTTATATGAAAGTTTGTTCCAACATTATTAGACTGTTAGTTTACTGACAATCTAACACTATTAGAATACATGATATAACTGAACAGAATTTATATAAAAAATAATTATAATATTCTCCCCATATTCACTTATAAGGAACACTAGGCAACTCAAAAATTCAAAAAATTCTGAAACTTTGTGTGCAAGTAGAGTAGTTCATTCGTAACACAAAACTATTTTTTGTTCGTGCGTAATTACAGTTTTAGAAGGTAAAACACCCCTTTGAGAAAAATCGTTTTTTTTTTCTTTTGAAGCGAATATCGTCGAAACTATAAGAGATAGAAAAAATTTCCCAAAGTAAAAATTGAATGATTTCAAGAGTACTTTAGAACTATAATAAAAAATTTGTTTAATTATTTATTTATTGTATACTCCTCAACCCACTCCTACTTTTAAAAAAAATTTTTATTATAGTTCTAAAGTATTCTTCTAAAAAATCATTCAATTTTTACTTTGGAAAATTTTTTTCTATCTCTTATAGTTTCGATGATATTCGCTTCAAAAGAAAAAATCGATTTTTTCAAAGGGATGTTTCATCCCCTAAAACTATAATTCCGCACGAACAAAAAATAGTTTTGTATTACGGATGAACTACTCCACTTGCAAACACAAAG